CTCAATAGCTGCACAGGTTCAGATTTACCTTTGGAGGCGCGCACTTTGGCAACAGAAATCGCAAACTTTGCAGTGCTTTGCCATGGTTTGCAAAGTGAGTTTTGAAAAAAGCTTTAAGGTAATCTATGTATACGGAATGAACAAGGCTCGCCTGTAGTACTCTTTCGCAGAACTACAATCGTAGTTTGCTTGGTATCTCTGTGTTCTTACCACCTGTGAAATCTCGCACTTCACTCCAAACTCTGCCGCTCTGTCTTGACATATATAAAATATTTTGTGGAATTCTGTCTCTGCGTTAGTTCCCATCTCTTCCAGCTTAGTGAACATCAAGTCAACCTGCTTCAAGACAACACTCAGGTTCATATATGGGCTCTGCAGATACACCGACAAGTGGTCTGTGAGAACTAGGAATGTCTCACTAACAGCAAGGCATATAAGAAAGTTGTTTGAACAGATTCCCTTATGGTAGCAATGAGCAGTGGTCGCTGTTGCTTTGTCACGCACCCTTCAACTCTTCAAGTGAATGAACTTTCTCAAAAAGCGCTTTTCCAAACAATTAAACTGAATCATGATGTTTCACCCACCTTGTTTCACAATATAAGCGTAGTCAGCTTATTGACTTGAATGTGAACATTCGACTTATGTCTGTCTGGTTGAGTAGGTAAACTAGAAAGCGATCATAACTCCAACCAAAACGTATGTGAAAATGCATAAACCCAACGTTTCGGAACTGACTTAGTTCCTTCCACGGCAAAATAGGGTGTTATTAACCACCCCGTGAGTGCCTTCACGACGCCGCTGCAACGTAGCCACAGTTTCCTCTGAGGAAGGTTCGGTTGGAGTTGAAATCGTTTTCCAGTCAGCAGAATGACATTATAGACGTTTCTAGGTGTTTTTCCAAGACTGCTGTGCTTCTGGGTGATACCTGAAAGGAAGTGAAAGAAAACGGGTTCGAACAGCGCGAGACGGCGCCACTGTGGCAGATCTCATGCAGTCAACCTCTCGACTCGGCTACTGTCACCTACGTGAGGTCGTCGCAAAGCACCGACAGTTCGGAAGCGTGGGAAGGCATTGCTGTGGCCGTTCTCAGGAAACGAGCACCTGGACAGCCATGTTCGAGAAAGTTTCGGAACACTGTAGCAGAACGCAGCCTTGGACCACTGCTGACATTCGTGTCAGCGGCCATCTCCCCGGAGGAGCTCATCTTTTTTCTCCACTGAACGCTACCTCCTTGCCCTGCGGTGTCTTCAAGGCATGGGCCAGGTGCGTCACTGTCTAGTGCGCTCGTGCTACCATTGGACCTTTTGCCCGTGTTTCTCACCAGCCGAGTGGTCTAATATCTGCACCCTTTCTGGTGGGTGGACCACAGAGACTTTGTCACCTGATTTGTGGCAAGAGTGGTCCCCGTCTTCTTCGGAGCTCCGTGTAAGGAGACGACGGGCTATTGAAAGCCGAAGCATTTTGTAAACAAGAGCTGAATCTCAGCTGAATCTCAGCTGAATCTCTGCTGAATCTCTGTACAGTTTCATAATTCTCATCATATAAATAAACCGTCGTTCTCTCTCCTAAGAATGCGTCTTTTCACTGGCAAGCATCAGCTATGCGGACGATGGCAGGAAGCCAGCTACCATAAAGAAACCCGCCGTACCTGCCATTGACTTCGAGCCCCTTACAACTAGTTGGCAGCAGTGATATGAATCTCGCGACATGATGCTGTGTTGTGGTGAGTGCTTGGTCTTTGCTTTTACTTTCCAGGCTTCATTTTGTGAGTGTGAGTTGATTAGAAGCCGGATTGTGTGCGAGTTAGAGAGATCACCTACTTTTGAGAACTGAGTTAGTCAGAAGGATCCTCTACATTTGTGTAAGATGCAGGACCAAAGTAAACCAGTAATTATGGAGGTGAAGATACTACTGACAAATGAACTTTTGTACATGTGCGAAAACTTGGGTATTGAAGTAGAGGAGGGAATATGCAGAACACAGAGTGTGAGGCTGACTTTGCAAAAAGCCAGTGAGGAGGAGTTTGAATCCACGTTAAATGTCTTGAAAAGGTTCTTGGAACAAGAACAAGAAAGAGAAGAAAAGGACAGAAGAGGATGAGAGGAAGAAATTGAACTATTAGAACGTAAAGTTGAGGCAATGCGACCGAAGATTCAGCCATCCGTGCACAGCACAAAAAGTACGATGAACAAATGAGCGTAGTTCAGTTAAGAGCCGCAGAGAAGGCTTGAACGTGTGGTTCTAGTTCTAATACTTTAACATACCATTATTTAGAGACAATAGCACTATTGTACATTTTAAAAACTTGGAAAGAGCTGGTGCAATTGAAATAAATGCTTATTGCTTCTCAAGTAAAAGCTTTTGGAGTGACTAAAGAGCAATTCGTGAACTGATACATTCATGCTAACCCTCCGAGATGCTTAGCTTGAGAGTGGAAGGTCCGAGCAAGAGGTACAAGAACACAAAGTTAAGTACAGTAGTGCAGCTAGAGCACATAACATTGTTTTGTGCATATATTGCTTTTCCCATAATCTCAGGAGCAAGAAAATTTGAAGTGAGCATATTCTTTTCTGCCTCAGAATGGCTGTAGAAGCCTTCTAGAAAGGTAAATTTGGATGGAACCAGGATTAACGCCCCTTTGAAACAACATTGCAAACAATTTTCACTGTGTATCCGAAGTGCCTATTTTATTCTGTTCTCATACAAAAGAATGCATATTGGTCACAAAGCATCAATCTAAGGCTAACAGAGCATTATTATAATGCCACCAAAGCTATTTCAAGCAATTTGAGTATACATTGACTGAATTGTAGCAAAGTCCCTGCTTTGACAAAAACTACCATTCTGTATAAGGCTTAAAATAAGTTTAACAGGGAGATTATAGAAGTTTCAGATTGCAAAAAAAATTTAAAAAGTGAGAATAGGCCAATAATATTGCTATTAGAAAGAGACTTCTTAAATTTATGACTTTGCATTGAAAAAAAATTGTTTGATTATGCTATGCACATGAGTTATAGTTAATTAACAAATAAATACAAATGTTTTATTAGTTCTGTTAGTTTCATTTGTCCTACATATATATCTGAGAGAACTGAATTCCACCTAAGGTTGCCATTTGACAGAAGGCCTTTCCCATATTTCTTATATGGGTCACTTCTGAAAGGAATTTGATGTGAAGTTTTGAGAAATATAGCAATACTGATCTCCAAAATCACTGCAATCTAGACTCAGACTCTGAAACATAGTTTTTGTTTCACAATTACGTTTGAATGCGTGATGGGTGTATAGGGTTCTAAATGAAAAGAAAAAAAAATAAATGCTTCAGACCAATTAATTCTGAGTTATTCATGAATATTCTAATGAAAAAGGAGGTTTATCCCCTTTCCAAGGGTTTTATCAGTAAACCCTGAATCCGTCTGTCCATCTGTCTGTAACTCACATTAGCGCCACCTGCTGAGTCATCTATAAACTAGGCAGTCACAAACCAGTCACAGTAAAAGGACAAACCCACAGCATTAGGGGGTTCACCTCTAAACAAATTATGGGATGAAGACATTCGTGTACAGGCCAGGCTGCTAGTGAAAGGCACGCAGGCTGGGTGTTTGATGCCCCTGCTCAAAGATGATAAACGTCTCAAGAAAGTGCAGACCTATCTCATGATAGGCACTGGCTTATAAAGCACAGCTACGAAAACAGCGAAGATCAGCACGGGCAAAATTTGCCTAGCCCTGTCTGAACATTGTGTGCTATGCAATCCCACTGAGCTACACACAAGCTCTCATCCTATACCAATGATGATATACAACAAGCACTTGCAAACAACAGGTAAGCTGATAAACAAGAGAGGGTTAAGCATTATTCAGTGGAATTTCCTAGCAGACAATGGGCACTAGACCACACTCACAGGTGCAATGGCCCCTTCACAGTTTTCTCCATTGCCATGCTAACACTACAGATAAAACAACACTAATTAATATACATCATAACAAGCCTCCAAGACAACCTACGCACTCTTTCACCATCAGCGTCTAGTATACACAAGCCCCTTAGCAGGCCCTTTGTCTTTTCAGGACACCGATGTATTCAAGCTAATACACTACTTCGACAAAGTATGCCTAGCATATCCGCTCACCATTACAATGTTACAAACAATTTGTGGCACCACCATACCAAACTGATTCGCAAGCACTGTACCCCGTTTTTAAAGCAACACTAAAGTCAAATAACAATTTACGTCAGGGTGAAAGCTCAATGTATGACAGCATCTAAAACGACAATATTATCAACAGCAGTGCCTTATTTACCGAGAAATTAAGCTAAATGCATGAGAACCCATGCGCTACGTACAAGACGTTTGCAAAATGATCCTCATGACGTGAGAAGTACCGCTTACAATTGATCACCAGTAATCGAACTAGCTCCACTAAATAATCTACCGTGCATCGAGAGACGTAATAACATGCTGCTTGTTCCTTTCCGTTTGATTCATGGAAATAACAACCGCCGGATGTTACTATGGGGAATGATGTGAGTGGTTCAAAAGTTCAATTTTCCCCTTGTTAAGCTGGACAGGCTGTGCCATCCAGCAGGGCCGAGATTAACCAAGCGCATCTGCCATCTCGGAGGACATGGCAGGAAATTCTTCAATGGCCGTTATTGTAGCTGTGGCTCCCGCTACTGTCGTTCTGCTGCTACTAGTGTCGGCGGCTGCGCGGTAAAGCCGGGCAACTTTGTTCACGGCAACAGTGACGTGAGACGTTCCACTTGAGGCGGGTAAATTGAAGAGCGTTACCCGGTTGGGGACAACTAAAACGTGATTTTATTTTAAATTGGGCATTTCCTTGGCACAAAAGTAACACTATGAGGTTTCAGGACCACTTTTTCACCAATCAACGTCGACTTGATAGTTGCCTTTAGTGGCCCTTTAAGCATGTGTGGTCTAAAATGCAAAGTACTGCACAAAGGTTTTAAGCAAGAAAAAAAAAATCCAACCAAATTACCTGAGCACGTCCATCACACACACCTGCCTCATCTTCCAGAACAAACATTTGGGACGGGTGAAGAAATATGCAAGCCTGCAAGAACACCCTGGACGGAGAGTCTGCATCCACACTTACAAGCAATGTCAGCTTTAACAGCTGGTTTGGCAACAGTTGAAAGGCAATTGCTGGTATACAGTCTGGAATTTCTTGGCATGATACTGTGACATTTCTTTTGTCTCTCGTAAGAAAGTCCCTGCAAATACAAAAAAGTAAATTTTATGTGCCAGAACCACGAAATATTATGAGGAACGCCACCGTGGTGCAATTTTGGGTAACCTTAAGCGTCTGGATTTCTGAATTGTATAATAAAATTTAAAAAGCTGGGGCCAGATGCAAATGCATCCATACAGTCAATTTTATTGTACCGTTACACATAAAAGTCTGGTGACCATAGCCTGCTTACTAGGAATCAATATTTGGATGAACGGGGACAGTTGCGCATTCACAAGCATGCGCTTCAAGATGACACACCTTAAGAGCAGTTAAGAAACGATCAGAGACACACATTAGAGCACTGCACAGGCTCAGGCCTGCTCAAAAACCTGGGTCGGGCTGGGTAAAGTCATTTTCACAACGGGCCCGAGCAGGACTCAAACCTGACGAACCGGGCTTAGGGCTGCGTGGGGGTTTGAAGTGGCAGGCTCGAGTCAGGCTGGGCTACGACTTTGCACAGCTCTTTAATATTGTTCCAGATACGCTGTGCATACCTATTGCATACATATTGTATCTCAATAAAACGTCTTTTTATGTGGGCCAAGGATTTGGAGAAGTTTTCTGAGAGATAAGTACTGAACTTCTTTGGCTTCTAGCATACAGGACTACTTGATAGAATGGTTTCTTCCTGATGCATGCAATTTCCTGGAACATGCAACGAAACGGTAATAAATGCAAGGTAATGTGAGTTTCTTGTAACTCTAGTTCTACTGATGTTCCTGAATATCTAATTAATGACAGTGGTTTAGAAAGTTCTTCATACTACAAGTATCTTGGCGTGAAATTCACCTCTAACCTCTTAGGGCACACTCATGACACCTATGTAACTAACGATGATAATCGCACTCTTGGCTACCTAGAAACACACTTTTCAATGATACCTTCCCACATGAAACTCATTTTATATAAAACCCTTGCTCATCCGAAGCTTGAGTATGCAAGCGCTGTATGGCACCCCAGCACTAGCACACCTTGGAATTCGTCTAAAATCGTAGTGCACATCTCATCCTCTCATACTATGCATGCACATCTAGTGTATCATTTATGAAAACAGTTTTGCGCTTTTCACTTCTTTGTTCATGGCAGGATAGTATCTAGTCTTGTTCTTTTTCATAAGACTTTCCACAATCTGCAACTTAAGCAGGACCTTCTAGTAAAACCACGCTACATATCAAATAGATGTGACCATCCTCGTAAAGTACACATTCCTTTTTCACATACTCAATTCTTTCACGATTCCATTATTTTCATCATCTCTAATGAATTAAACCACCTTACCTCCTCTAATGAACAATTGACCAATGTCACAGCTTCTAAGACAAAGCTGAATGCGATGTTTACTGTTGGCAGTTTTTCTTTTTTTATTTTTGCTGTTTTTTTATTATTATAACTGTGTATACTTCTACTCACTCTTTTCTGCAATGCTTTCAGGCTCTAAAGGTACTGCAATAAATAAATAAATTAGTTAATTAATAGGCACTTATATAGTCAAGCTCTCACTATACATTGCCTTATTAATTGCATTAGCTACATATCTTATACAACCAGTATATTATTTTGTAATGACAGTGATAAATGTATAAATGTAACATAATAAACTAATACAACCTCATATTTATAACTTATTATAGGAAGAGCAAACACAGAGCTCCAAAGCAGGGCAACGTTTTTTAATGTTTCCACAGTAAAGTAAAATGGAATGTCTGTGAAGAATCTCATTACAAAAAGTAAACACAAAGACACATTCTTCTTCCCTGTCTCCCCCGGGTCCGAGTGGTCATGTGACGAGATTTGGACATGCACAGCCTTTTAAATCCAGAGCCCTTCCCAGAATTTTTTTTTTTTTTTGGGGGGGGGGGGGGGGGGGTGGCACCTCCATTATTTTGGACAGGGCACCCCCTTAAAGTTGTCATTTTCCGCTCTCTATGCCATGATGAAATATAATTTCGGGGGTGAGGCACAGGCCCAGTGTGCCATCCCTTGGCTACATCATACAGCTGCAACTGCGTCTGAATGTGCAGCAATAGCATAGGTCATTAAGCAGGGTATACATAAGTTTAAGGATATATCTGGCTTGAAAAAAGACTGGCGATTCAGGCAAAATGTCACACGCAGTCATAAAACTAGCCTACTGCATTATGATAGACGAACGACAAGTTGCCAGCCATTTTCCCACAACAGAAGTTATTATCACATGCATGTGGAGTTGTTAGTGGAGGTAGCACGTTATAAGAGATGGGTTTACAGCACACTTTGGCTTCAGTACACAGTGATCTTCAGCCATAGTCACATCTGAACGAAGTCCCCTATAATAAAAACTGCGGCCTTCACGCAGCTCTTATGCAAAATAATTACTGGATTTATACCTCCATCAAGAAAATGAAAAAGCAGTGATGAATGAGACTCGTTTACTGACATTTTTTATATTTTCCATAATTTGGCATTTCATTATTTTGGGTGTGTTTCCCTGTACGGTGAAGACACAAATAACGAGCCTTAACTGTAGTTTCTTTTGATTCATTAATATGTGGGGTTTAGTGCCCCAAAACCACCATATGATCATGAGAGACGCCGTAACGGAGGGCTCAGGAAATTTCGATCACCTGGGGTTCTTCAACGTGCACCCAAATCTGAGCACACGGGCATACAGCATTTTCGCCTCAATAGAAAATGCAGCCGCCCTAGCCGGGATTTGATCCCGCAGCCTACTGTAGTTTCTTTTGACCGTTCGGCTGTTTATAGCATATATTTAGAAAAGTACATGGTACAATGGTTATAACAAAAGTACAATGGTTATAACATTTATCTAAATTAGTAGGCTTGTGCGAATGGTGAATTTTAGGTTCAAAGCGAATACGAAGCCAATATTGATTGTGGCTGAATAATTTTAAATCGAATTCGAGTAGTATATATGATATATAAAGAAAAATGGGCATATTCATCATGACATATCGTACCTACACAATACTTTTTAAAATGAAATATAGCCTGTAGGTAAATATCGTTTTTTTTTTCTTTTCATTCAAAGGAAGTTGAAACAACTTTGAGTAGTAGCAGGATTTCACTTTCAGTAGGATGCTTGTGATAAACTGTGAATCATGTAACATTTTAAAACTTATTATGCACAGAGCATATAAGCTGTCATAACAAGCTCAATCAAATGAAGAAGTGATTTGAGGGTGATAGGTTCATTTAAAGGGGCCCTGCAACACTTTTTCAAGGAGCCATGAAATGGATTCCCTAAAGAAACTAATTGCCTCACGAATTCACCGCCGCAAACATTTTTAGAATCCGTCCAGTACAAGCAGAGCTGCATAGATTTGTTGCACGCTCCAATTGAATTCTCTCTTCTCCTCCGGACGAAAGCACTGGGAAGAAAGATAATACGTTACGTGTGCCTCAAGACCTTCGGCACTTTTTCTCTCTTTCTTCGAATATGCGGCTTTTCAGTGTGAATGGGCACGTACGCGTGGACAAGTAGCGGCCACAGAAACGACCGAGCACGCCATGCTCTAATCAGCCCACGGCTGATACAATGGCTGTAACGTGTGATTTGTGAGCTTGTGGCGTCATTTGTCAAGAAAAGAAAGGAATTTTTAGCTGACTGAGATTTACTGTGAATTGCACACCCCGTGCTATGCTATAATATTTGGCTCGCGTATTGTCGGGAGCCCCTACTACCGATCGGCAGTGTTTTCTGACCATGCTCAAAAAGTGTTGCAGGAGGCCCCTTCAAATTTGAAACAAAGATTCCCGGCAGGGCAGACTTCCCCTATAGAGGTGCTTTCAGGGCATAGCACACCTGCAGTGAAACTACCTTTACAGGTGGTTACATGCAGACTAATATACACCTATACGTCAATTGCGAATACTTTGAAATTTTCAATAATTTAAATTTAAATCAAAGTGAATTCGAATACTCTACTATTCATTAGAATATTCAAAGCATTCAAATATTCAACGCAAGCCTATAGTGTATTTACAACAAGGGTATTTGGCATTTGGCTTTTTTTTCTATTTGTCCTGCTGTCATAAAGTGCTAGTACAATGAATACAGGTGCTACATATCCAGAAGGGCGCACAATTGGGTTTGATAATAGAGCATGCTTTAAACTAATTACGGCATGCAATAAAAACAAACTGAAGAGAGCCGTCTTCCATTGTGTCACGTGTACTTAGTGCACTCTCTGTTGAAACTGAACACATGCAGCAAATTGCTTCCCTAGCAACAATATTTGCTACCAACACTCATGAGGATTCCCATTATATTTGTAGAAAGATAAGTACAGTAACACGCAAGGGCATCCGTAGAAATTCAGGGCTCTTCAGAGGGGAGGGGCAACCTCGGTGGGGGGGGGGGGGGGGGAGGGTATAGTAGGTTAGTGTAAGGAGGCATACTTTACGGTCTGAGTTACGCTTGCGAGAAAAAAAATGAGATAAATTATTGTACAGAAAAATATGCATAGGATTTTATTATTGACCGAATAACTAAACACAATAAGCTAAATGCGAAAATGTAGCACCACTCTCAACGTGTTTTATTTTGGCACAGAACTAGAAACATGAAAAAAGACAGAGGAAAGAGTCAGAGGGGCACCAAACTACAAACTGTTTATTGCTGGCAAAGACTGTAAATCAAGAAAACTTCTACGCATGCGCAGTGACGTGAAACTGTGACATCAGCATGTCAATACGTAACCTGTCCATTAAAAAAAAGGACCTCTCAAATCGATACGATACAAATCATGTGCCAGTGACACAGGCAGACCCATTCCTCGGAATACGAAACCATTTGGTCTCTGCTCTTGCCAACAATCTTAATTTGCTCAAAACGTGGTGTAAATAAGCATGCATTAACATGCACTGGAAGATGCGCACTATAACTTTTACCAATACCACTGACGTGCTCCCTGAAGCGATCATTACATCCCATTTGTCCCATGTATATGACTTCCCACAGCTCATGGGAATTTGGCAGAC